TTCTGTCTTTCTGTCTTTCTGTCTTTCTGTCTTTCTGTCTTTCTGTCGGACTGGAGAGAGACAGGATGTAAGAATAATAACTGTTTTGCTGCATTGCATTTTGTCAAAGGTGTGTTAATGGGTTGCTGCCTATATTGAAACAGTTGATGATTAGCGATTAAATAATACATTCTCTGTTAAGTCTGTCAATAGAGTAAAGAAAAATCTGATTTTTTTTTGTTTTAATTGCATTGTAGGAATAATTTTTTTTGGTTAAAGCTTAGTGGTAAACCAATCAAATCATATCTGGAATACAATGCCTTACTCTTGCTTTAAAATTGAATAAAAGGCTATCTCCATAAAATATTTTGGGGGAGGCTGGTCTGGTCTCTAACAGTTGCATCCTACCAAAAGGGTAGATGAATAAAGAAGGGGAGCCAATCATCCTACCTCACTCAGATTTTTGAGGTATCCAGCTGGAGCCATAATACCTTGGTGAATCTCAGTCGGAGTTTGAGTGCTTCAGATATACAAAGTCCTGGTTAGACCAAATCAAAAGTATAGAAGGCAGTTCTGACCCATCATACTTTGAGGTGGACGTGTAATTTTTGAAATGTAAATCGACCAAAATGATCTCTAGAAGAAAACACTGAAACAAACTGGGATTATATTTCTGGAGTTTTAGATTTAAATATTTTAGCGAAGTATTCCAGCTATTAAAGGAAACATAAGAGATAGATTGGGAGCAACCATTTTCTTGTTAGGGAGTTCAAGACGAGGGAATAGAAACCAAATATTAATGGCAGTTTGGAACTCTTCTAGCAAATAATAGCTGATGTCAGATAAAATTGTAAAAAAGATGGATTTTTTGATATGATGCAAAGGCAGGTAATGTGGCTGGATGACAGATCAGTCTTTACCTACCCTGAATTTGCAAACCAGTTTGCGCAGCAAAATGTTGTGCACTTGTTGCTATGTTCTTGCATACTCATTTCAAGAGTAGGTAGTGCAGATTGACCAGAATGGTACCAGGATTGAAAGGACTAAACATATCTTAACTTTTATGTCATGTTTTTTATTGCCCCTATGCTCACTGACTTATGTAGACTCCGAGTCAAGCAGTGTCCTGATTTTAAAGTGCTTAACTTTTATTTTCAAATTGCTCTACGGTCTTGTCTCTCTCTATCTCTATCTCTTTTTTTTGTAATCTTGTTCAGCTCCACAATACGCAGATTGCAGCATTAAGTTATAAATGCTCCATTTTTAGCAGTTATCCCTTTGTTTTCTTAGGCCCCATGTTCTGGAATTCTTTCTGTAAACCCCTTTAACTTTGTACCTTGTGTTCCACTATTAAATCACTTTTTAAAAGTTACCTGTTTAAAGCTTTTGATAATCTGACCTAATAATTCATCATGTGCCTTAGTATCATGGTTTGTTTTACAATGCGTCTGCACTTCATTGACACTATACAAATGTAAGTTGGAGACTTGGTAAGAAGAAGGCACGTTAAGGCTATAACATTGGTTCACATCCAGCCATCAGAGATCCGTTTCTGTTAGATACCTCACTGATTTCCTTTTTGTCATTTATTTTTATTCTTTTATCAATTTTGATTGTGACCTGAAAATGACTTGAGGACTTTGGGACAGCTTGTGTTAAGAGAGGGAAAAAAAAAGTGAGCATTGTGTTTAAACAAGATAGCATTAATGAGGTCAGTATCTGGGAACTGGTTCCAACAGGTGGAAGAGACCCTATATTCAAGAACATAGCAGTTGTGGAATGGTAATTGAGGCCTTGGGAAGAATCGATCATTCATTCTATCAGAGCAGAATCAAAATTGAAGCCTTTCTAAATTGTTTTATGAGAAATGGTTCTTGGTTGCTGTAGAGTTAGCATGAAAATCTGAAAGCCCCCTGCCTAATCTGGTACACCAGCTTCTGGAAGTTGAGTAGAAAGCAGATTTAGAAGTATTGCTACCTTTACCTGGGTGAACTAAGAAGGTGATCCTGTTCAATATTTCAAGAAAGCAACAATAGAGTCCACATTCATACCTGTGAAACAACACATCCTGAAAGCTATTTAAGTAATCTGACCAGTTTTATTTCTTTTATTTACTCCTTAATTGTTTGTTTTCTGTCTTTTCTTTGAATGGGGCAAAAAACTAATGTTTCTGGTTAAAAGCATTGATGTTAATTGTGTTGTATAATTTTCTCTCTGCTATAGTTAGTGTATTCAATAAATTGTTCAGTATTTTGTTTGACATACAAAACCGATGACTGTCTGGAAATTAAGTATTCGCAAAGTCAGAGATTGTTTCATCACAGATCATAGAATCCCTACAGTGTGGAAACAGGCCCTTTGGCCCAACAAGTCCACACTGACCCTCGGAGCATCCCACCCAGACCCATCCCCCTAGAACCCACCTAATCTACACATCCCTGATCACTACGGGCAATTTGGCATAGCCAATCCACCTAGCCGGCACATCTTTGGACTGTGGTAGGAAACCGGAGCACCCGGAGGAAACCCACACAGACACGAGGAGAATGTGCAAACTCCATGCAGACAGTTGCCCGAGGCTGGAATCGAACCCAGGTCCCTGGCACTGAGGCATCAGTGCTAACCACTGAGCCACCGTGCTGCTCTGGTTATTCAAAAGTCTGGTAGAAACCATTGGAGTGGCTGTTTGGGTGCCTCTGGTTTAATTTTGCTGTGCTACGAATATAGACTGATTTGTTTTTGCTGTCTGCCTCAGTGTCCTAATGCTATCTTGTAAGGTTCTTTCAACCAGTTGTGCTTGTGCCAGTTCTTGTTATAATCTACGTGCAGACTGGCAAATCTTATCTTTATTTTTAAAATAAGATTTTATTTCCTTGTGCACGGCTTCCCAATTAGTTCGTATGCTGCAATGTTTGTTTTTTTGAGCTCCATGATAGCAATGGCTAGCTTAGATCTCTGACAGAGTAAAATACCTGATCTTTTTTGAAATGTCGCCTTTTTGAGGCCCACCTCCTGCAGCAGTAGAAATGTTAAGCCTAATCTGCATGTAAAGAAGACATGAAATCTGCTCATCCTCTCTGTTCCACAGCCTCCACTTTCACATTTTCTACCTCTGTACTCTTACTGGTCTGCCTGCTCTCCCAAGTGTACTTTCATGTCTACTTCAGCTGGTATGAGAATTGAACCCAGGCTGTTGGTGTTACTCTGCCATCCAGCTAATTGAGATAACCAACTCCCCGTAGTCAATAGAGTTCCATTATCAAACCCTTAAGTTTTGAATACCAATGGCCTTTCCTGGAGATTGCTGCAAGAGAAAAATGATCTCTCCTTCTGTGATTTCTCCACAACTGAAGTTGTTCACCCTGCTATCGTCTTGGGTAAACTAACCCTGTAACTGTCAGTGCTTTGACACGGGAGGCGACTGGGAGGACTGTGCAGCAAGTCAGCAGCATTATATCAGACTGGGCGATTGGACCGGTGTGATAAGGCCAGCAGCAGTGGAGATAAAAACCAGGGATGGCGAACCGCTTCAACCTGTTTCTACCTGTCTGTCAGTCAAACTGTGATGTCACAGGAAAGAAGGTAGGTGATTGGTGGGTATTTCCTTCACGTCTCTTTTGTCTAACTGATTTAAATCACATTACATTATTGAGCTGAGTGCAGTTAGGAAATTAAGCTTTTAAAATATTTAACCTCCAAATCAATTAAGTACGTAAATAGAAAAGAGGTGGCTGAGCAGGTGATATGTTGAAGCTATAGTATCTGGGAGTTGGTGGACACTGGTGCAATCTATAGCAATCACATCTGCAGCAAACAGAGGAAGTTACTGGGACATTGTGTTACTGGACAGTCACATAGATGAATTACATAAAGTTTGGTCCTGGGTTATGGAAAAGAGGGTGATAATGCGAGTGAGGCAGGTAACATGATCAATTTTTCAATAGCAGAAGAAGACTTGATCCCAAGCATTCCAGACTGGAGAGATTACATTTACTTTGAACTTTAAGAAACCTAAAGCTCTGACCCCTTTCAGTCTGCTCCACAGTTGCTTTCATCACTGATAAAAGCAACAGAATTCATGTTTTGCCTTGTATTTCACATGCTGCATTAAATCTTTTGATTTTTGTGGTAATGATCCATTTTCAAACCAAACACAGCTATATAGTTGCATTTTTACTTTTGAATCAACAATGGGAGGGTATAATCAGTAGCTAACTTATTTTAAATTCACACTGTCAATTTGCTAGGTGCTGCTTTCAATCTTTGTGAAGGTGGTTACAATGACAAATTGTCACCGTAAAGTGATATGATGTCATTTTTAGTAACTGGGAAATATATCATGAATTTTGATTTAATGAAATTTGCATTTCAGCTAACTTGCTGCATTTTGCCCCCAATCGAAGACTGAATTGAGTTCTATGTATTCTAAATTGTGTATACCAGTATTTTTATAGTTATTTCTGTGAATCAAATTACTTCAAAATTTTATATATTATAAATTTAAACATAATATCAAATTCCTCCTCCATCAGACTGGAAATCGAACCTTTAACAGAGCAAAGCTGCTTAATGTCGGAGTAAGAGAAGCATTAAAGGATGAAGACTGGGACTGTCTGTTTCTACATGATGTTGATCTTATTCCGGAGAATGATCATAATCTGTATGTCTGCAATGAGAAATACCCCAAGCATGTGTCCAGTGCTATGAATAAATTTGAGTACAGGTACTGAAAAATTGCAAGATTACCTATCGGTAATGGTTTTGTTTGCATGTTCTATTGTATTTAACATTGCCTTCTTAAATTGAATGTTACTTTTATGCTTTCTATTTTCAATATTGTGCCAATGACTTTAAAGATTTAGCAAGTAGGTGTCTAATTTGTTAAATACTCATTTGCTAGATCTTATTGACATCATTCATTAATACATTATAATTATTGACAAATTACATAATCATAGAATCCGTACAGTGTGGAAACAGGCCCTTCGGCCCAAGAAGTCCACACCGAACAGCATCCCCCCCCCCACCACCAACCCTATCCCTGTAACCCTGCATTTTCCATGGCTAACACATCTAATCTACACGTCCCTGAACACTTGGGCAATTTAGCATGGCCAATCTACTTAGACTCCACATCTGTAGGAGGAAATCGGACCATCTGGCGGAAGTGCACTCAGACACAGGGACAATATGCAAACTCCACAGACGGTTGCCGGAGGATGGAATTGAGCCTGGGTCCCTGGCGCTGTGAGGCAGCAATGCCAACCACTGAGCTACTGTGCTGCCCTGGAAGAATGATTTTTCTTTCTTTGGGTAATTAGTATATGGTGAGAGTTATGATAGCTCACTGCCACCTCCTTCAGGGCAACAAGAGATTGGCAATAAATGCTGGCTTAGCCAGCGGTGCCTACATCCAACGAACAAAACTTTCTAAAAATCCCTAGTCTGTCTTATCAATATTTGAGTCTCCAACTAAAATTTGAAAGTCACACTCCAAAGCTGCAGTTACTTGAGTACGAATATTCGACATCCTTTTACTCTCTTTCTTTAATTTCATTATTGTCAAATAATCAATGCAATAGTCTGTAGACAGGTTCTTTTACTAGGATTGTTGCAAATGCATAACCAGCCTTGAAAGACCAAGCATTGAAAATGCATGCATAGTTCTCTAACACAACTGCATTGATAGCTTCAGCTCACTGCTCAGGTACAATAAATTAATTAGCTTACTGAAAACAATTGGTGAAGTAAAAAGTGAGCTTTGCAAATATAAACTTCGTAGGAAATCATGTAGATGTATTTAGGCACCTTACTTCATTAGGTGCTCGTAATAAGTGTAAAAAGTGATGGCTGAGGATCAAGAGCAGTTCTCAAATCTATAAAATCATATGCTATATCAACTTCAAAAGATGCTTTCTCATTTGGAAGTTGCAACTGGATCTGTTTTTCCCAGTTATCTTAAGCACACTGATTATTCTCAGCACCAAAATGCCTGCTGGTGCATACATAGCCAAGGCCAGTGAGGTCATCTGGCCATGACAGGCTTCAGAATGCACCTGCACTGCTGGCTCCCTCCTGGGGTTGAGGAGGCTGGTGTTGACAAAGCACGGTTCTCCTCCCAAGCTGTCTGCAGAATTATATCACCAATGGCTGCTGTTCCTTTACCATGCTTGTCACACTACTGCCACTTCACCACCGTTCCCTCTCCAGCTGCCATGACATCAGAGTAGACTCTTCCCAGAGCCAGGAAGCCATAATGAAATAATCCTATTTGTACTGCTTTTATAAAAACTAACTTGCTCTTCACCAAGAGGACCTTTAGTTATCCTCACTTGTTAACTCATCTCTACATCAGCCATAACCCCCTCCTCCATCCCACCCACCCTGAATAATTGACTGGCCTGTAGTTAGTAGAAATATTCTTGCACACTTGATTCATTTGCCATAGCTCATCCTCTTGGACCTCCCCACATCCAGGAAAATCTGGAGCACTGGTATGTCCTTTCAGTATCTTTACTCCCACTTGCAGCAACCTGCAATGCAAACTACCTGGACTATATAAATCAACCTATATATATTAAAATTAGTGCATGTAACTAAAATGGTGTTGCCAAGACCCAGGCCTTGTCCATGTGACCCAGGGCCTGAAACGTGGCCCATCATGACTGTATATGATGTTCGAAGGCCCTTGCAAAATGGCCAAGAAGTGAATTTGAAGTTTACTGTAGAATTGCTCATTCAATCCACAAGCTGTTTTCTCTTCATGTGACTACTGATGTGGTGAGTCTGATGTCAGTAGTGGATAAATTGAATGAGATTCTGAGACAATTTCCATGTATTTGGAGAGACAAGGACTGATTAGGGATAGTCAGCATGGCTTTGTGTATGGGAAATTGTGTCTCAACTTGATTGTGTTTTTGAAGTGTGACCGAGAAGGTAGAAGGCAGAGCGAGAGACATTATCTACATGGACTTTAGTAAAGCCATCAACTGGTTAATAGGATTAGATCATATGGGATCCAAGGAGAGCTACCCAATTGGATACAAAATTGGCTTGACTGTAGGAAACAGGGTAGGGGGTGCGGTGGGAGGATTTTTTTTGGACTGGAGGCCTGTGACAAACGGTGTTCCACAGGGGTCAATGCTGAATCTACTGTCGTTCATCACTTGTATAACATGATTCGGATGAGAATTTAGGAAGCATAGTAAGTTAGTTTGAGAATGACACCAAAATTGGTGGTATAGTGAACAGTGAAGAAAGGTAACTAAGATTACAAAAGGGTCTTGATCAATTGGTCTAATGGGCCAAGGAGTGGAAAATGAGTTTAATTTGGATAAAAGTGAGATGTTGCACTTTGGTAAAATCAGCAAAAGCAGGACTTAAACAGTTAAAGGGCCTTGGTGAGTGTCAGACAGAGAGATCTTGTGGTTCAGGTACCTAGTTCTTTGAAAGTCATGTCACAGGTAGACAGGTTGGTAAAAGAGCTGTTTGGCGAACTAGCCTTCATTGCTCAGACCATTTGAGTACAGGAGTTGAGACGTCCTGTTGTGGCTGTACTGGACGTTGGTGAGGCCACTTTTGGAGTACTGTGAATAATTCTGGTCACCCTTCAATAGAAAGGATATTGAATTGGAGAGGGTGTAAAAGCTATTTACAAGGATTTTTAGCGGGACTGGAGGGCTTAAGTTATAAGGAGAGGCTGGATAGGGTGGGACTTTTTTCACTGGACCACAGGTTGAGAATTGACCTTTTAGAGGTTTATAAAATCGTGCTGAGCATAGGTAAGGTGAATAGCAAAGGTTTTTCTCCTAGATTAGGAGAGCTCAAAACTAGAGGACATAATTATAAGGTGAGAAGAAAAAGATTTTCCTCGGAGGGTGGGTTTGTATGTGGAAAGAACTGCTGGAAGAAATGATAGATGCAGGTACAGTTACAACATTTAAAAGACATTTGGACAGATACATGAATAGGAAAAGTTGAGGGATATGGGCCAAATGCAGGCAAATGGGACTAGTTTAGTATGTGAAACTTGGTCGGCATGAACATGTTGGACCAAAGAGTCTCTATACGTGCTGTATGACAGTATGACTTTGTTAGGTTCCAAATGGGACATGGGGGTGGGTGTGGGGAGGAGTAAATGTCCAATAGGCAGACACTGTGCAAACCTCAGAACACTGGCTTGAGCTAGACACACATTCATCCTTCTCTTAAATGTCTATATGTGGAAAGAATTAGGAGAGGGCAAAAATTTGGGATGCCACACAACCCACTTCTCCCTCCACTTTGGTATGAATTTAACTGAGATCAGCTTAGAATGTGGGTGTCCAAAGACATGAAGCAAGGTGCACTAAACCTTTCCTAACACTCTCTTTTTCCTACTGGCTTCCCCAATGAAAAGTTAGAATCCTACACAAGACGTTTGGATAACTGTGCTGTAGCCAATTGTGTGCAGAGTTAGTGATTCCTATTGTCATTTACTGAATCTGTATCAACTCCCCACTTCCATTTTCAATTGCTATTAAGTGTGTGTAATGCATCTCTTTAAATGGCTGCTGATGTCAACAGTAACATAGTGAGCAGTTGTAACATTATGGTGTAATCGCAAATTAATTCAACGTGAAATTACTACATCACTTTTCAGTTTTTAGATATACAGTGTATTTATGAATAGATTGCTCCATTTTGGTCAAATCAGGATACTCAAAGCTTGTTCTGTATTACTGAAACAATAAACATAACTTTCAAAAAACACATTTCTGCTGACACTGGAAATCAAACAAAAACAGAAGTTGCTGGAGAAACTCTAGACTGGCAGCATCTGTAGAGAGAAATTGGAGTCAATATTATGGGTCTGGTGACCCTCGTTCCTAATCTTCAACTTAGTTGAAGTTTAAACCTTACCCAAGTTGATGCAGTTTTTTTACTTTTTTTTGTTAATTCTAGATTACCATACAAGATGTATTTTGGTGGTGTTTCAGCTTTGACTCCTGATCAGTACTTGAGGATTAATGGCTTCCCAAACACATACTGGGGTTGGGGTGGAGAAGATGATGACATCTCGGCTAGGTAGGACTTGTTGGTTATGCTCATTCATAATTGTTGTTAAACCCATGAACTTTTTGTGAAGTCTGAATTTCAATTGTTGTAACTGTTAGAATGTGAATTTGGATTTAGGATCAATGAAATAGTTACACAAAACCTCATCTATCTATAAACTGCTGCACAAGCAGCATAACCACTTATTGCTTGATTTTATGGACCAGATTATGTTGTCCTTTCTGCCCTAATATTTTTTTCCTTTGGAAATGTGTGGCATTGATGTATCTTTGGTAGTTAAATCCTGAATCTGAAGATCAATATCTTCATATCAACAACTGAGATGTGTAGAATTTAATGGGAACAGTGACTTAAAACTTCACTAGCATCAAGTTTTCATTTCCTGGACAACTGTGAAAAGCAAAATCATGGTCCACCTGGTCTAAAGACGTAATAATAATCGATAGTTATGCAGATGGGACCTTGAGAGCTTGTATTAATGATTTAAATTCTTTTTTTCAAATTTTATTTAGGATTTATTTAGCAGGAATGAAGATAATTCGAACTCCCCTCTCCCTTGGACATTACAAAATGATATCTCACAGCTTGGATGTGGGTAACGAGAAAAATGAGAAAAGGTACTTAGAAATGTTAATTTGAGCCAAGCTTCACAATAATAACGCTTGGGTTAAAGAAAGCAAACTGGAGATTTAGATCATCAATGACTAGCATTTAAGATATTAAGTGAGGTAAAATTTTATTTTTTGACAAATGAAATAAGTCAGTATTTATTAAATTTTCTCTGACTATTTGGGTAGGCACTTGATGGATGGGACAAGTACTTGATGAATGAGTATGAACATAGAAACATAAAATATAGGGAAGGAGTAGGCCATTCAGCCCTTTGAGCCTGCTCCACTATTCATGGCTGATCATCCAACGCGGTATTCTGTTCTGCCTTTCTCCCCAGTAGAAATACAGAATATAGGCGCAGGAGTAACTAGCATTGAGATGGGTGAAGGGGGATGGTGAAGAGAAGCAAGAACAAGAACAAATATAAGTATTTTAAAAGGCAGTTAATGTTGTTAGATATCTTTACACTGGGCATTATGCTATAGTGCATTTTGCACCTAGTTAGTTAGACGTAATAATTTCTCTAGTCATATGAGCAGAGAGGCAAAGAAAATTATGCTCTCATTTATCTTCCCTTTCACATTGACACTCAACTGTCTTTCCAGTTTTCAACCCCCTTGTCTCTCTCTCATTTAAAGCTTCTTGGGAAGTGTTTTAGGGAAACATATTAAAGAGGAGTCTCCAGCAGTACAAGCACCCTTTATCCAGAGATCTCTTACCACATATGGGAGAGGCCAGAGTCTGCTCCAAATCTGGTTTTCACTTGGGGCGCAGTTGTCACCTTAATTACAGCTCAGATCAGAGAAGAGGTCGATGACACTCTAACTTTCCCCAGCTGAAGACAACATTTTTATACCTTTTGCATTCAATAATTACTTGCAATATTGCATGTAATTGTTAGCCATGTCCCCCAATCTATACATCCAATCCAGTAAAAACATAATCAATGATGGATAACACTATGGAGAGCCCTCAGTCCTCCAAAAATCTCATTATATTTACCAGATACCTCTATCTGTCTTTGGGGAATCTTACAATGCATCTGACAGTTCATCATGTTAATTGCCAATAACCTAAATACTTGCTTATCACTGAAGACTCTTGCAAATTCTTTACCAGCCTTAGTACAGAAGATTAGGATTGACATTAATTTCTACCAATTGTTATATAGTCTTAAATCAATTCTAACATAAAGTGACTGCAGTTCTGTGACACAGCTGACAGATCAGGAACAACCCCTCTCAGCCTGAGAGATCAAATAAACAGTCCGTCTGATTTGCAGTTGCAATTACAACCCCCTAGATTCTCGTTGAGTTTTAAACCAGAGTTTAGTTCTTGAATGAATCTTTTGCTGTTTCTGTTCTAAACACTTTACATTACTTTTTTTAATAGAAAGTATCTATTCAAACTCCACTGAGGTGAAATTCAATCACTTTGCAACTTTACTAAGTCATTAAACAAACTTGTTTAGATTCCAGAAATAACTAGGAGACATAACCACATCATCACTGTGTATTTTGTAATCTGTCTCAGTCACTCCTTTATATTTGGATGTAAGAATCTGTACTTAAGCTGCAATTGTTTATCTCTCCATGTTTTATAACCTCTTTCTCTCTGAGGCTGTCTGTTTACATCATTTGTTGCTCCATCTTACCTGCCATGAGGAGGCCTCTTTTTACTTTGTCATTGGCTGCTCATAAATATTCAACTAAATCTCTGTATGGATGCTTGTGGGTTGCATCTCACTTTTCATATGGGCATGTTTAATATGTAATGATAGTTACCCAAAGAGTCTAGATTATTGTGGGATCATATTTTTCCTTCTACCTTTTTCTAAATTAATACTTAGAATGGTAGCTAAACTAGGCCTTTCAAAAATGCCCCTTTTTAAAATGTTTGTGTTTAGAATTGCTTGTTTACAGAAACTCCAGTAAATGTTTCTTCTCACCAGGGTCCTTTTATGACTCCCACGGGACCTTTTGTTATCTTATCCAGTAACTCTATGGAGACCAGAAGTCTGGCTGTGAGCATTTGTTATATGTAGCTGCCAACCACTTTTTGGCCATTTTATATCAGCTAAAGAGCCCCAGGCGGCCATCTTGTCAACTTTAGTCATGGGCTGCTACGACAGAAAGCAAAGAGACTTTGTTAGGTCTCTGGCTGGATTTAAAGTGGGTACTTTTGTTTGCCTTTCAAAATAAAGGAGCAAGTCAGTTTTAAAATCCTAAAATGCAGCTGTTTTCAAAAACAAAACTAGATCTGTTGCACATTAGAAAAGGAGCTTGGATTGAGTTTTAAAGGGTTTATGCACCAACCAAATAGATTGCTTCCTGTTAATAAAAGACCTGCTTGTATGTTCTATTATTAACTTTGGGGTTAATGACGCAGCATCATTAAGAGGTATAGTTAACAGAAGTCTGGATAGAGTTTGCATTTCCATTTAACCATTTGTAAGTACAGAGTGACCAGTGCAAAAGGAAAATGCCTAATTTAAAGACTTATTTTAGAGGGAATATTTTGTTGTTTTTGTCTCCAATTAATGTATACCATTTAGTAAATCTAAAATGTAATTACTTACAGATTTGACATGATAGTAAAGGTAGCCCGGTCATGGCGACTTGATGGGATGAATTCCGTAGAGTACAACTTGCTTCATAAGGAAGAGCTTCCTTTGTACACCAACATCACCGTGGACTTTGGAAACAGTGCAAAAGTACAGTCAAACATCAATTAACAAACGCTTGTCCCTTAAAAGTTACTAATATGATTCAAGATGTCTCAAAGGGCAAATGGTAGTGGTTATTGGGTATAAATAAAATCCAGAGAAATCTACAGATTGAGAAACCCATCAAAATGCAATGATATGATGTACTTGCTGCTATCTTCTCATGTTCAACAGATTTTCCCAAATTATGACTTTCAGAATTTTTGTCCTTCAGTGCTTTAGGACAATGTGGGTGAAGAACCTCCTGTTTCATTTCACTTAGTATTTTGTAAATATTAATGCCTATTCATGAAACTTGAAATGTTCGATTGTGGTATTTGGAATGAGGCCTTTCAAATAGGTTATTTGTGTTTGCCAATATTTGCCAATTTTTTTCTATGTGCATGGTCAACTTGACAATTAAATAGTGCCTGTGTTGCATTTAGTAAATCAAAAAATAGTGCCTGGGTCGCATCTAGTAAATCAAAATGAAGAACTAAAGGCAATTAATAAATCCTAATAAAAATCCATGCAGAAAAATTAAGCTGTTAATGGTCCTGTTTATTTTTCTAATTGCATATATTAAGAGAATTGTATCAGGACTACATTTCAGCTCATTTTATTGCAATCTAATGAAAACACTTTTTCACTAGTGTTATATTTTAATCACACTAATAATACAAGGTATACTTGTTCAGTTTCCCAGATTTGCTAAAACATGTACGCTTAGCAGCATACATAATCTAATTGTACTATGGAGGCATTTATTGTCAGTTAACTTGTTACAAATTTGTTCTATGGATGTTTCATTCTATCTTTTCTAAAAAGATGCCTGGAACTGCATTGGTAGCTCTGACGCTGTTGCTTGCATATGTCATTATCAATTTAATATTAAATGTACCTATCTATGCTTCTATATCAGTTTGAGCATGTATTTTGTAGTTTCTATGATTTGCTTTTTAATGAGCTTTCAAATAGAACTTTACGCACCAAATACAGTTTTGTGCTTGAATATTGCTAGTTACTACTTTGATTTTTGTGTTGAGTTCTTCAAGGAGTTAATACTTGTAGACTCAGAGGTCAATCTTGCCTACCCAAGATTCTGTGCTTTGTTTCCCATCATCATGTCTTATTTTCTGTTGTTGTTTTCATTATTTGATTGTTTCTTGTCAATAACTTGAGTTGCCGTCTACTTGGCCTTTAAAGGATGCACCAATATAATTCAATGACTGTAGTTCTTCTGATCTTTGCCCTGCTGTCTGTGCTTGTGAAGCCTGTATTTCAACTAGCAAAATGGCTTAGCTCATGTTCTGTAATGAGCTGATCACAAACTTTCTCGTTCATACCTTATTATGCACAGACTAATTACATAATACCTGACTGTGTGGTATTTCAGTCAGTTTTGGTTTCTTAAAGCACTTATTCTTCTGCATAGAATAAGTATTTTAAAGCCACTATCTCTGTGTATAAACTTCCTAACAGTTTCAGGTTCTGTGGAAGTCGCAAACAATTAAAATGATTGACTACTTGAAATCACAGGCATGTCACACCCACAAAGGGCATAAAGCCCTATCTGTTAATTGAGATTTGAAACATACAATGACATAGCACAAGGAACCCATTCAGCCCACTGTGTATAGGCAAACCATCTGGAAGAATGAATGATTAGTTTCACTTCACTGGTCTTTCCCCAAAACCTTGCAATTTCCTTCCTTTTAAGTATTAAATCTAATTCACTTTTGCATCTGATTTCAGCAATGCATTTTATTTCTTGCTTACTGAAAGTAAATCTCATTTCCCTGTCTTAAACCTGTCTTATCTGGTTATTGACTTCTATGACTGGTAACCATTTTTCTTCATTCATTTGATTTAAAAGCCTTAATTTTGCATATCTTATAAATTTCCCCTCAATTTTCTATGCTGTATGCAAAAGAATTCCATTGTCTGTAGTGTCCCTTCAGATAATAAACTCCTTCTTCAATGGTATTGTTCAGCTCTGCACCCTTGCAAGGTCTTGATGTTCTTTCCAAAGTGTGGTCATTTGTCTTTTCTATAATACTTCACCTGAGCACACAAAACATCCTCACTAAATGTAGGGAATACCCAGAGATCTATATATTTTTTGAGCTTGGATGAGGGTGATGGTGAATATAGTCACTAGATACAAATGTCATCACCCATCTCATTTCCTACCTTTGGTAAGTGTTTGATGCATTGATTAGTCAACAAATCCATTACCAAAGAATTTCTATAAATTTGGCTGCGACATGCTTGGACATTACGCTGCAACTATAAATAGGAGCAGGAGTAGACCATTTGGCCTTTTGAATCATTTGATTCATACAGTAAGTTTTTGGCTGATGTAATTGTAGCCTTAATTTCACTCTTCTGGCTGTCCCCACAACTCCTGACCCTCTTGTAAATAAAATAAATCTATCTCTGCTTTGAGTATATTTGAAGACCTAGCTTCCACAAATCTGTGAAGCAAATCAGTGGTGGAATGCTTTTGGAACTATAGATCCAAAGTCACTTGATCTTCCCAAGCATGTCATGCTTACTATGTGCCATGTTTCAAATAAAATGAACATACTGGAAAATCAAATTTGAAATTGAGATTTTTGGACATTTTTTTTTGTCAGGTGCTGACTGGCCTGTACATTTTTTTATGTATGTATGTACAAAGGGGAAATTACACCTTTTCTAGATTAACACTATTCTTTTTGGTTTAACAATTTTAGATTTTCCTGTGGAAACTTGGAATTCTTTGGATACAGGTAGTCATGTCTTCGTTTAAAGCTGGAATTGGTTAGCAAATGCTGCCCACACGTACACATATATTTTATGACCTGTACATGATTTTCAAGTAACTGAAAATGGTTCAATTTTTAATGCTAAAATTTGATATTCTTTAGATTGTGCAGTATATAACCTTATCTCTCTTACCCTCTGTTAGATCACATTAGGAGACATCACTTTTGAAAAGACATGTTAATGTAAATAAGTCTCATACGGTAACATATTTTACAAACTGGGGAAGTGCTGTAAATTCTGATTTTGATTTCATTGTGATAAGAGCAGAATTCCACTTTTATTAGATGCAAGTTATGAAAACAACCTCCTATCAATCCGAACAATTGCCTAATGCGATTGTAATCTATCTTTATACCATGAATACTGCTGCTCAGCAGTTTCAGAATTTGCAATTCCTATCATTACTTGGTATTCTCCTTCTTCTAAACGTGTTTTTTGTATGTATACGATAGCAAGTTGAGTTGTTTCCAAATTCTTATCATATTGAATACAAGTGTGATTAATAGTTTCTCAATTTTCTGCAATGTAAGAATTATCTGTACATAATTTTTGGTATTTTCCTGATTCAGTAAAGACATGTACAAAGTTTTATGAAATCACTTATTGAACTAGTTATTTATTGAATTGTAAAGGAGGGGAGCAATGAAATTACAGCAACAGTTAATGTCTACAGTACTTGAGTAAATGCTGTATGCAAAGCTGTAAATACAACTTGTTTTCATGTGTTTTATTTTACTAACTTGATACATTTAATGCAATATAAGTATTGGTTTTAAATAATCTTTAATTGTAGATGCACGGAATGGTCAGTGTTAATGACTAATAACTGCTAGCTCTCACAACAAAGTCTGCTTTTATTTAAACTTGTGTCTGGGTCCTGAAGGATTTTTTTTATGTCCATTGCTGAAGTACAGGTTCCTGAATACTTGAAGTAAATGTGCTTGTGATGTTCGGAAACCTTTTATTTTGAACTTTGTTACCTTGCCTTTTACATTGTGGAAATTTTTTTAAAGGACTTTTCAAAAAAAAAAAGTTGAACTTGACAATCTAAGACTATTGCACATGTTTCTCTTGTAGCCTTTGTGCTTTCTACTTCCTACCAAACCTGTTACTCACCCACAAGTGCATTCAGCTGCTGTGTATGTTTCTGGGCTCTTGCATATAAAAATAAAATCTTCAAAGCATTTTGCAGCTTTTGTTTTTTCAGGTTGTACCTTGAATCAGAATGAAACATGCAGTGATCAAGTTTGCATATTGGTGACATGAATGGCTGGAATCCCACAGTGGGAGCAACTATACACCATTTTATACAACATAATACTATACAACATCTGACTATTTTACAACTTGGGGATACGAGTACCCCATCTCTTTTCACTTTTTTTTTCATTTCTTGACTTCCTTTATCATTTCCCAGGCTAAACATATGTTTGCAGTACATTCCCAGGAGTAAACATCAACACTAGCTGCAACCTCTGGTGTCCCTTGTTAATATCACTGAAGAAACCTTTGTAGTGGCTAACAGCACTACATACCCTCCAATTATCTAAATAACACTGCTTTGAAGTAGAACAAGCTAACTGATGTCTCTTATCCATCACTGCGCCTATGGAGCTTTCCAAACAGATAGAAAGTAAAATCAATTTGACTTGACCTGGCATTTGAACAATCTCCCATCTCACTTTGAACATTAGCTGAGTTTCTGGATTAATAGTATAGTGAAAATACAACTTGGCCATTCCCTTCCCACAGTATGCAGTATTACTGTTGAATTCCCCATCTCTTCCTGTCCCCTCTGCTTGTTTTTAAATTGTTCCCATCATTTTAACCTTTTTGTTTAGATTTCTAAATTCCAGCTCCTCCACCATTCTGATGCTCTGTTACTTATGTCCTAATTTAGACAGTTCACTAGGACATTAATGAGGTCAAATTTAAGTGGCACCCATCCCAATAGAACAACTCTCTCTAAACCAAACATTTAATTGTATAATCTACTTGAATCAATGCCAATTAGCACATGGCTCAGGTAATAATGCAGAGATGATTACCTTTTGACGTTTTAAGTTTTGATCTGGAGATACTTCCTAATCACCTATTCAGAAATGTACTGACACATCTCTGGAGCAGATGGGACTTGACCCCAGGATGGGACAATGGCCTATTGGTATTGTTACTAGGCTATTAACTTAGAGACACCAGTAATGTGCTGGGGACCTGGATTTGAGTTCTGCTTTCACAGATGGTGGAATTTGAATTCAACAAAATTCTGGAATTGAGATTTAATGAAGTGTTGAGTGTCAGGGGGGAAAAAAAAATCTGGTTCACTAATGTCCTTTAGGGGACAAAACTGCTGTCCTTACTTCGTCTGGCCCACATGTGACTCCAAACCCACAGCAATGTGCTTGGCTCTTAATTGTCCTTGGGCAATTAGGGATGGGCAACAAACACAAGCCCAGCCAATGATATCCACATCCTGTAAATGAATAAATATTTGTAGAATTTAAAACAAGCCAATTTGCCAGAAAGGGACAAAAACTGATCATATTTTGGAATTTTTTAATAGTGTTAATGGAAATGAAATTTACCCTTCACATTACTACTGCGGTTTAATCAGAACCAAAGAACATTCCACTAGGAGCAACAGGAAATGATAGGCCAACATTGGTGAAGCTACAATCGAGTACATATATGCGAAGTCATAGAACTTTAAGAAAAGTAGAACTTTGTTGCATCTCATCTGAGCTGACTCTTTGAAAGAGCTGTATAATTGGTCCAAATTAGCGCGCTTCAAGTGCGTGTGCCATTATGTTTTGAACACCCCTTGCCTGACCATAACAATAGGAAAGATAAAATGGCACCCCTCTCTTCCCATTTTTTTTGTTTGGAAATGGAAAATTATGCAGGGATATCCTATCCCAAAAAGTAGGATAAAGACAATGGTAATTGGTGTTTAAAAAAAAATTCAGCAAAGTGATGGAAAGTTGTCAACAGTGCTATTAAGTGACGCCAACTCAATTGTTCAGCGATCCTCAGTTTGAGTTCTGACTTTTTGGTTAAGAAGCAAAATTAAAGGTGATTGAAAGGCTCCAAATCCTCATCACTAGTGAAGGGAATGGAGAATGCGGTTGAGTTAAGGACTTGAATTTAACTAACGCTAACCTTGCTTCCTGTCTTATGAGGCACACACTGAGCAGACTTGCAAAATTCACATGAAGGTGACTTTCACCCTAGGATTTCCTCCTCTTCCAGATTTTGAGATTTTAGTGGTGTGGCTATGGGGAATGGTGAATATTAGGTGTATATTTAGTTCAATCGTGCTCAGCCTCCTTGACATTCCATCGCTCACTGAGTAGCTCACTGATATTACTATTCAGCATCCCTCCCTGCTCCCGCCCCCAACAGCTAGTCTGACTGTGGTATGTTTCTCCTGCCGATGTCCCATCCCCATCTCTGCCTGCGTGACTGTTGTTTCTGTCCTTCCCAACTCAGTATCATTCTGAAAGCCTCCCTATTTTGAACCTGTAGACTGTGGTCTGTAAGCTGCTTGTTGGGCAAGCCTGTTGTATCTAATAGTACAGTGGGAGAACCTTCGTTGCAAAGATCCTGTGATTTAAGAAAGTGGCCTTTATAGCAAAAATGAATAGATTTTTAAATATTCAATCATCCGTTGGTCGCAACAAACATACGTGAAACTACTTTTGTGTTAATTGCCAGACTCCAACTTTTCTAACGTTCTTTTAGCCAGGCTTCCATTCCCATCATCAACAAACGAGAGCTCGTTTGCAATTCTGCTGCATGCATTCTAAGTGCTGAAAACTCCATTCATCCGCCCCAGCCCCCCTCAGTAATTTATATTGGCTCATAATCCACCACCATTTTGCTGTTAAAATTCTCATCCTCCTGTTGAAATCTAGTCTTGGCCTCACCTTTTCCTATCTGAATGTGGTAGTGCTGATTCTGAGTTCCCTAACCAGCAGCTTGTGTTGCCTGGGCTCAACAGTGTGCATGTATTCACTGAATTTGATCATGTGACCACTGTGTATTTAAAATCAGTGTATATGTTGCTTCTTTGGACTTATTGGTGTTGGAGTTGTCAGAGCAAGTATAGTCTTTAGCAGTCTTCAAACATCAGTCTGGGAATGAAGAGCAGTAAGTCTGCTGCAAAACTGAGTCAAGAGAGCAATAGGTCGTGCCCACTCTGCATGACACATGCAAGACTTGAACTGTGTACCAGTACGATGATTATATTTTGGTACACGTGACAATAAAATCAGTGAAAAGCTTTGTACAGGCAGATCACAACAAGCAAAGCATGTACAGATCAAAAGGACTTGGAGGCTTACAGTCCATTCAACACTCTGATAATGGCTGGAAAGAAGGTGTTCCTGAACCTGCCTGTGTATGTGTTCAGGCATTGTAAGTATTGACTGTGTCAGGGAGGGTTGTGTCATTGTCCGCTATCTTACATTGTTTCATTTTGTATCCCGTATTGTCATTTAGACCTTGGTGGGAGTCTGCTTGGTAGGTCTGGGCCTCTAACTTGGTCTCGTACTGCTTCATACCTATAAGCTCAACACTTTATTTCAGGAGCTTCTGAAGAATAAATGGAAGGACAAAATGCTAGAGGTAATCATCTAAGCTGCTCTGCCAAGCATCCACATCATATGGAGGCAGTCATAGCTGAGTTGGGCCCGCATTGAGGTCGGAATACCTGACAATAAATTCACCAACGTGAACCTTCTGTGGGGAATTTGAGTGTAGGCCATGCGCACGTATTGGTTAAAGGTAATAGGCAAGGTCTTTCTGAAGACTTCTCTTGCCAGTTTCGATATCAACCTTGACGAAACTTGACCAGGATCACTGCATATAGTGCAGGAACGTTTCTTTTATTTGTTCGCACTAGGGCTTAAACACTTTGGCGGCTTGTCTTAATGAAACAGACTAAGGCACCTACTGGAACCCTACCAACACTGGAAATGATACATTTTCGACCTCAAGAACGAACGAGTCCTGTATATAAAGCAAAATAATAGCACCGTGAGCTCTACCAATGCGAATGACTGGATAAAATCAGCAAGTGTAGAGAATATTGAATTGTAGCAGACAAAATTAAGTTATATATTCCAAACGGTTGGATGTCTATAGTGCAAAGTTATGGAACAAGTAAACAGTAGTTAGCGTTTATTATCAGAAATGCAGCGTGTGTTAATACTGAGCTCCAAACTTGCATTGGTTGGATTCAACCCAACAACGAAGTGGCTCAAATTATTAACGTCGGCAAAATATCCTGTGTCCCATTTGCCTTAACTGCGGGGAAGAAATTTCCTCCTACGCTCTCTCTGACTTTCGCAGCTTGGGCAATGAATTGTTTCCAGCTCATAGCTGTTGGTCGAAGTTCAGTTCCGGCTTTTCCATCTAATGGGAGGGCCCACCACAAACTAGAAATGAGATCGGGTATGAATTGGTGCAAGTGGGCGCGAATATTACTGACATTCACCGCAATATTTTTATTTGGGTTTCTAATTGGTGAGTATTGTGTTCCCGAACAGCGCCTTCACGGGAGTTTCCCGGGGAAAGGGAAAGTGAGTTGAAGGAGTGAAAAATAGAGTTGAATTTACTTATAGTTTAACTCGACTGAGTGCCACCGATATGGAATATTTCTTACCTGTACGGCAAATGATTTTTTGCGTACGCTACGCTGCATGTTCTTAATCAAAATGAGGTACCATTTACAGGTTCATTTACTCAAGTCTGGCTGAACAAAAAAATTCGGTAGAATGGTTTTGAAATCTACAATTTGCTCTTAAAGGATGGGTTGGAAGGCCCTGCGTGGACAACTTTCCGATGAAAACTCAAGCTATTGGGAGCAAGTTGCTGAATGAAATGCAAGCTGAAAATATCAGAGTATATCTGCGGTAAGAGACTTTATATGGTGTGTTGCTTCAGTTGACTTGTATCAGCTTCCAGTCGTGTTGGTGCGAACACCCAGATTCCGCTATCGGTAAAATGGTGACTAGATAATGAATGAGTCCCATATTGCCAGCGATTTCCTATGTTTAGATAGGCAAACAAATTTCAGATTATCTACTCAGTGTCACACTGTGTGCAAATTGGCTGCAGTTATACGTGTGTCAAAAAACTGTATACCATTGTTTCGAACACCACAAAACTCCCCTTCAGCTGTAAGATACTTTGGGTCACCCCAGAGGTTGTGGAAATCACAATATTACAAAACATAAAGTATCAACTTGCAATATGTTTTGCATGGAATTTCATGTAGGAAGGCATCATCAGGTATTGGCTGTTAGAAATAAGAGCAGAAATAACGTTAATAGTTTTATGGCTGATCTTCAGCATCAAAGCCATTTTCCTGCTAGATGCCTAAATGCCTTGATTTCCTGAGAGTTACAAATTAATAACCAAGCAGATACAACACCCTGTAGCAGATAATTTCAATGATTGGTAATATTTCAATAAATGATTGTTTTCTTTATCCTGTATCTGCTTCCCAAACAGGGGAAACTATCTCTCCAGTCTATCCTTCAGAATTTTGTATGTTTCAGTAAGGTTAACCCAATTCTCCTAAATTCCTATTTACTTAGCCTAATGCCACAGGGACCACCCAAAGGTAAATATATACCTTTATTAAACATTGAGATCAAAACTGTGGACAATATTCCTAGCCTGGTTTTATTAAAACCTGTACAATTGGAGCAAAACTTTATTCAAATATAAGAAGCAAGAAGGTTGCCCGGGAAACGGTTGGCCCACTCAAGGACAAAGGAGGGACTCTATGCGGGGAGCCAGAAGAGGTAGTTGAGGTCCTAAACAAGTATTTGTGTTGGTGTTCACCAAAGAGAAGGAATTAGTGGAGGATGATCTCAGGGAAGGGAGTGATGAGTTTCTAAGCCAAGTTGCTATTAAAAAGGAAGTGGTGTTCTGCATCTTAAAAAGATTAAGGTAGATAAGTCCCTGGGTCCTGATGGAATCTATCCCATAATATTGAGGGAGGCAAGAGAACAAACTGCTGGAGCTTTGAGAGACATCTTTGTATCCTCTTTGGCCACAGATGAGGTCCCAGAGGATTGGATAATAGCTGATATTGTCCTATTGTTTAAGAAGGGTAGCAGGATAATCCAGGAAATTACAGGCCTGTAAGCCTAATGTCAGTGGTAGGGAAATTACTGAAAAGAATCTCAGGGACAAGATCTATACGCACTTAGAAGCAAATGGACTTATTAGCGATAGACAGCTTGGTTTTGTGCAGGGGAGGTCATGCGTCACTAACTTGATCAAGCTTTTTGAGGTGATGAAGATGGTTGATGAGGGAAAAGTTGTTGCTGTTGTTGCTGTTGTCTACATAGACTTCACTAAAACCTTTGACAAGGTCCCTCATGGCAAACTGTTACAGAAGGTGAAGTCACATGGTATCAGGGGTGAGCTGGCAAGTTGGATACAGAATTGACTTAGTCTTGGGAGACAGAGGATAGCGGTAGTAGGTTGCTTTTCAGAATGAAGTTTGTAATTAGTGGTGGATCAGTGCTGGGAGACCCCTGCTGTTCGTGGTCTACATAAACAATTTGGAGGAAAGTGTAATGGGTCTAATTAGTAAATTTTTAGTCGATACAAAGATTGTTGGAGTTGCAGTTAGTGAGGAGGATTGGTAAAGGATGCGGCAGGATATAGATCAGTTGGAGGCACGGGCAGAAAAATTGTAGGTGCCATTTAATCTGGTCAAATGTGAGGTGATGCATTTTGGAAGATGGAGTACAGGTGGAAATTATGCAGTGAATGGCTGTGCAGGTCCACAGATCACTGAAGATGGCAGCACAGGAATATAAGGTAATAAAAAATGCTTGCCTTCATTGGAAGGGGCATAGCGTATAAGGATAGACAAGTTATGCTGCGGCTTTATCGAACTTTAGTTAGGCCACACTTGGAATATTGCATACATTTCTGGTCACCACACTACCAAAAGCATGTGGATGCTTGGAGAGGGTACAGAAAATGTTTACCAGATTTGCCTGCTGTGGAGGATTTTAGCTACAGAGAAAGGTTGGCTGGACTGGGTTTGTTTTCACTGGAATGCAGGAGATTGAGGGACGACCTGATAGTTTATAAGATTGTGAATGGCATGATTAAAGTAGAAATTATGAGGCTTATTCCCTGGGTGGAGGAGTCAATTACTAGGGGACACAGATTCAAGGTGTGGGAAGGGGGGAGGAGTTTAAAAGAGATGTGTAAGGCAAGTTTTTCACGCAAAGGGTGCTGAATGCCTGAAACGTGCTGCCAGAGGAGGTGGCAGAAGCAGACACAATAGCAGCATTCAATGAACATCTGGAAGAATACATGAATAGGAAGGGAATAGAGGGATACAGATCCTGTAAGTGAAGACAGTTTTAGTATGGAAGGGCAAAATGTGTCGGTGCAGGCTTGGAGGGCTGAAGGGCTTGTTCCTGTGCTGTATTGTTCGTTGTTCTTGTATTCCAGTCACCTTGCAATACCTGCCATTTAGCTTCCTAATTGCTTTCTGTACCTTAATGCTAAAGTTCTGCATTCCTCAAATGAGTACACTTAAGTCCCTCCAAACATCAACACTTACAAATTTCACACGTTTCTAAAACAAATTCTGCTTTACACCAAAATGAATACACATACTTCCCCACATTATACTCCACCTTGTTGCCCAGAGACTTAACTTGTCTATGTCTCTTTAAAGCTTCTTTGTGGCCTTCTCATGACTTGTTTTCCCATCCATTATGCAATAATCAAGGGGATTGTTTACCTCAGTGTCTGAATGTCTGGTTTGTGATGCAGTTACGCCAACTTGACATGTTCAATTCCTGCATGCTGTGGTTACCATGAAAGTCTCACCTTTTCAAACTTGCCACTCAACTTAGGCATGGTAATCTTCTGCTTAAATTCACCACCAGTCATCTTTGTCTAATGAGAGGCAGCCTCATCGTCCTCTAGCACAATAGCGACTTTACCTTATATCTTAATCTAACTCATTAATATGGATTGCCGGTAGCTAAGGCCCTAGCACTGTTTTTGCAGTACTGCACTAATGACAGTTTGCCATTTACTTCTGAGTTGTAAACCAGTCTTCTATCTACATTAATGTATCACCCCATCTCCTTCGCTTATCTTGTGTGTAAACCTTTTGTAGTATGCTACTCAAGTTGTGGTTGCAACAGGGCCCTGTTATAATTCAGTAAGACACCCCTACTTAGGAGTTCAAATCCTCTTACATGAAGGCCAATATACTATTTGCCTTCTACTTTCAATGACTGATGTACAAGGACATATAGATCCCTTTGTACATCCACATTTCTCAATATATCGTAACTTAAATAATTCTTTTCCCTTCTATTTTTCACATAAACGTGTATAACTTCACATTTCCCCACATTGTATTGCATCTGCAATGAATTTGTCCATTCAACTTATTTAAATTGTCTTCAGGCATCCTTGTAACCTTCTCACAATTCACAATCCTGCCCAATTTTGAGTCCTCAGCAAACTTTGAAAATGTTGCATTTGGTTCTGTCATCTAGATCATTTCTACATTTTGTGAATAGCTGGGGCCCAAGCAATGATCCTTATGGTATCTCGCTAGTCATACCTGTCACTTGGAAAAAGGCTCATTTATTCCACTGTCTGTTTCCCATCTATCAACCAATATATTACCCTCATCCCATGTGTTTTAACTTTGCCCACTAATTTTTTGAGGAACCTTAACAAAAGCCTTGCGAAAAATCCAAATGCACTGCATCCACTGGTTTTCCCTTATTTTTTCTACTAATTACAACCTCAAAAGAAATTCCCGTAGATATGTTAAGAATAATTTGCCTTTCATAAACCTATGCTGGCTTTTGCCCAATCCTGTTAATGATTTCCAAATATTCTGTTTATGAAAGACTCACCTTTCCATCTCTCTCCCATTTTAGTTTCAAGCCACCATTACCTCCCCGCCCCCACCCAGTGTTGGCCCTCATCCTGCCCAGATGTAACCCAGCCTGCTTGTACTGGTTCTTCCTTCTGCAGAGGAAGTCCTAATGTCCCAAGAATCTGAATCCAGTATATCCTGGCACTTCCACTCTTGTAACATGTGATATTGGTGGCAGCCCTAACTCTCATACTGAGATTTATTACTTCTGAGGTCCTACTTTTTAATTTTTACTTTTAATTACTTAAATTTTATTTTTTCCCTCCTATGTCTTTGATACAGATATGTACCAAAGCCACTAACTGTTCACCCTAGCCTTTCAAAATACCCTGCAGCTGTTCCAAAATGTCGTTGAACTTGGCACCAGGGAGGCAATATACCATCGGGAAGTATCTTTTATGGCAGCAAAAATGTCTGTCTGATACCCTTACTATTGAATCCTCTATCACCACAGCCGTGCCATTCTTTTTCCTCTTCTCCTGCCACCCATGGTACCAAAGACTTGCCTCCACTGCAATCTCTGAGAAGTCTCCCCTCCCAACAGTATCCAAAACAGTATATCTGTTAGTGCAGGATTGGCCATAGGGGTCTCCTGCTCCACCTGCCTTCCTCTTCTCTGCCTGGTAGTCACACATTCTCTTTTTGCCTCTTTGATCTTTACCTGTTGTGTGACCATCTGACTGAACATGCTGTTTATGATAATCTGAGCTTTGTGGAAGCTGCACAGTGATTCCACCCACAGCTCCATTTCCATAATGCGATTAGCCAGTAACTGCAGCTGGGCACACTTCTTGCATGGTCGCTGGAGATATTGCAAGTGTCCATGACCTAGCATGTAGTGCAAGAGGAGGAGGTGCAAGCTCTGCTGCCATGACTTCCTTTTTAATTGGGCTTGTTGCTTACTCCTATAAAGAATACAAATTATGCTAGAGTCAAATTTTAGTTTATGTATCTCCTGTACCTTTT